TTCGACAAAGCTGTCAGCTTTTTTGTTCTTCACTGGTGTCCGGACCACGCCAAGGCACTCAGGAGCATCCTGGCTTGCCTCAAGCCAGGGGGCGAGGCACTGCTCATCACGATGAACCGAACAACACTGATCTCCGAGGTTCACAGGTTCTTGAACAGTCATGTGAAGTGGGGTCACTATGTAACAGTAAGTCATACTTTGGTGAAGGATGGAACGTCCAGTGTGTGTTAAGGGTGCCAGAGTGCACCTGGCTATTATGAATGCAGATCCAAAATATTAGAGACGTGGATTTTTAACTAAAAGTAATTTGTTAGACGAGGGCCATGGTCTTCCTCCTGAAAGAAGCAGAAATATGTTTATGAAAAACAATAGAAGAAAAACACTCTTTTAGTTAATTTCATTTCCCTTCCCTCTAGAAGCGTGCATGGTCTCTACGAAATAGCCCCTAAATGTAGTCCCCTCAGAAAGCCATAAAAGGTTTAATAAAAAAATCCAAATTTTTTCCACCTCCCCTAAAAAAATGGTTCCTGATCCACCGATTTAAGTACGTATTTGGATGTTAAACATCAGTTGACATACACATAGTTCTCCCTTTTTTTCCAGGGCTTTGAGAATGCGTTCTCCTTTTGGGATCGTTCCGTCGCAGAAACCGAGGAGCTGTTGGCGACGTGCGGTTGGACGAACCCGCGATGTGAAATACAACACCATTTGCCTAGCACAGAGTTTCGAACAAAATGTAGGCAGAGAACTCGTTTAACGAGAGGTCTATTCTGGGAAGTATAACCGTCAAGACCCATCACCAGGGCCAGTTCCAATCCTGCTTGCTAAATTCAATTCCATTTTATTGCGCGCTCTAGGACGGAAAGGTCCCACCTTTTGTTTCAATTGGGCAGAAAACCAGAGAGAAATTTTCATTCATATTTTATCAACATTATTTAGGAAGTGAGATTTCTTGCACAAAAGAAGATAGAGATTTGCTCTGTTAGCTTCCATTTTATTTCTGCATTTTCCTTCGCTATTCTCTTGCAAAATTCTGTGGATGGGTCAAAACTCTGTACACGACTTGTTTTCAAAAAAGTTCTTTGTTTAAAATGAAAGCTTATCAATCTGTTTCCTTTGCAGTATTCATGAAGACCTTGCTAGGAATATCATCGCTAATACCGGAGTCAGAACAGGAGGCGTATTTTGAGGATATCTGGCAATGGGCATTGTCTCGATACGAGGTTGAGACTCAAGCTGGATATGTCTTCCTCCCTATAGACCTGATGGTAATGCAAGCTTCTAAGCCGCTCTGAAGTAGCCAACTTTCTGCAGTGCTCTGCGTCCTGTTGAGCAATGTCTGCCAAGTCTGCATATTGTGTGCGTTCTGAAGACGTTAATTTTCTGAAATGTATACAGATTTTTTGGGAAGGCAGTTTTGCAGTTAATAAAATGTAATGTAGTCTTACAAAAAGAATATGTAATATTCATATTGAACGATGTAATAATAAGATATACTCTCTGACTGAAGAGTATAATCTTAGGAGGAAAAACATACTGGTAATGATCCACACTTCCCTCCAGGTGATACTCACGAGCAGTTTTGACTGGGCTATAGAGCCTGAAAGTTGACCCCTGATGGCGCGCTTCGGGAGCCTTTGGATAGGAAAAATCATGTGCAAAGATTTTAGAATTTGTAATATTTTTTTGTTCAGTCACTTCTTAAAAAATCCAACTCAGTAAAGGGGCTTTGGAAAATATTTGCTAGTATATCAATTTATAGAAACTGAAAAATCACCTGACGTAAAAGAGAAATATCCTGCCAAAATTGACCCATCACTTCCTAAATACATAAAGAACAGTGCAATGAGGCAGTCTCGTACACAGATGAACATTTACGGTTTTAAATTTTATGGTAGTCCGTCGGTAAAAGCCGAAAGAAAAAAAGATCAAAATATTTTACACTGTCTTCCAATTAATAAATAATAAACTTAAAGCACTATTCTACTTCAGTTATGAAAGATTCTAATCTTTAATCTAACTTTTGCTGACAACAACTGCGTGGTGTCAACTAAACGGAATCTGGAACCCATCGACTGCAAGTAGGTAAATCTTTACAACATTGTACAATCTCGATTTCACGTAAGCACGGGCAGTGAAAACAAACTTGCATAAACATGGGGACCTAGGTACGATATCGCCGGAAGTGAAAGGTCGTTTAGAAAATTCGTTTTTTACTTATCTCAATGTAATTTTCCAAAATATTACTTGAGGAAGACAAAGGTAAAATTCCAACATGAGTGTTTCATGGGGTGGTTTAAGTTAGGAATTATTCTTCCAAAAATTATCGAACGTGATAGGACGGCTCAACGTAAAATTCCCATAGGAGGACCGCGTGAGGGTTCCGGAAACTCGCTGCGTGACCTTTTACTTTCAGGCTCTATTATCAAGTGAAGACCGAGATAAATATTCTTATATCAAGTTCATTAGCTTATCAAGAAAATATGAGGGGACTTTTGTTTACTGAAAATGAAGGCGTGCTCAAGATTATTAGGGGGGTCAGGGGGCATGTTCCCCCAGGAAAGTGTTCATAAAATCCTGAAATCTGGTGCATTTAAATATCCCCCAAGTCGACTCCCAGACTTATGTTTTTTGGTTGTTTTTATCAGTGAAGCAATGGAGGATTACATGAGGACTGGCTGGGGGGAGGTATTCAAACCCCCAGGTTTCCTCCACCCCAAGCTTTGCTCCAAGACCCCATGATCAGTTCGTCTCTTATGAATATAGCGCCCGCGAATGGTAATTCTATTCAGCTGTGCCCGCCAGCGCATGTCGTCTGCACGGTGCGCACAGTGAAACGAGTAAAACGAGTCTTGGGGCAAGACTGCCCCCATGTGTGCTCTTTGGAAANGGAGAGTGGCACCTGGAGCTGGACATTTTGTGGTGCTGAGCATGGAAGAAACCTCCAACCCAATTTCCAATTTGTTGTACACGAAGGCCAACGGAATACGATTTAGTTCTTTGATATGCATCATGATTAAACAGCCTTCAGTCCAGGGTACTGTACAGAGAGCTGACATCTGGGCACGTTTGTATGATGATACCCATGGTAATCCCGCAACTTGACAGAACAACAAGCGATAGGTGATTATTTTTTTCCCAATTCCCCTTTGAACGTCCAATTTAGTTTTGTGATACCTCCGTGGCCATCATTTATGTGGTTGTTTAGACCTATCGATCGATCATAGTACAAATATTATCGCGTCCGAGCAAACACCAGAGATGGAGCGCGATTAATGCTAGTCTGCAAGTCAGCCGTGAATGAATGCTTTGCCGTAAGCACCACTGTTGGAGAAGAGACTAACACGGAGGATTTGTAGAAGTGAGTTTTCTTCTTAAATATAATGTCAATTTGTCTCAGGGGCTAACTTTTCTCTATGTATTGATTGTCTTTTTGTCTTTAACTGTCACAGTATTATAAGTGTCTTTTTTGAACATTTGTTTTTGTTCTAAACAGAGACCAACTCTTTTTATTCTTTACGGTTATCTGAGAAAGCTGGTTCACAGTTTTATAAAGGCATTCTTTTGTGTGAAATTAAAGATGTAAAAAAATTGAGTAGATTACGATAAGTGTAAATCCAGAAGTGTTCAAATCTACTGTATTCCTTTCTTTAACGAACGATACACTTGCTCTGTGCCATGTGTTGCGTAAGTGCTCATTGTTAGCGTGAAATCTTCAGTTTATGCCGCTTTTTCCCTCAAGGGATATGCTAGAAAATGCACACCAAGAAGTAATTGTGGAAATCCCCCCCTCTAAGTGTATAGATAAATAGTGATGAACAACAATTAACAAATTTTACGCAATTTGAACATTGAGCATGAGCTTAAGAACTCCGACTGACACATGGTGACGTCATTTTAAATCATAGGCAAGCCCGGAATTGCTAATATAACAGACTTTTAAAAAATGGAGTTTCCAAGAGACAAGAACCGAGCAAATCGGAAAGCTTTTTCATCGAGTTCCAACGAATCAACGAAGAAAACGACAAAAGCACAAAAGAAGTATCGGCAACGAGAACTCAAAGATGACATCGAGTGATAGTCTTGACGACCCCCGGCCTAAGGTGGCCAAACAAGCGCTGGACAACATTGAAAGTGAACATAAAATGAACCAGGTGGACGCCAAAATCCAAGGGGAGCTCACACCACAGGAAATTCGGGATTTGAAAGATGTGTTTGATACATTCGACAAGGAGCATCGCGGGTGAGCCCACAATTCCCTAAAGACACAAAGAATGAAATTGCATGGGTTTGGTTACATGACTTTGAAAATCGCTGGAATAAATTTAAAAATGTCCTGTACTCGGATAGTACTCGGATGGGGCGGAAATGATACTTACAAACACGAATGCCAACAATACGAAATAAACTAGCAAGCATGTTAGCAACATAAAGGCAGAAAGTCACTCTCACTAGATCAGATGAAGAGATAGCAAAATGACACGCCAAAAGTATACCCAAACAATTAATATTCTGTTTATTTTTGCTCCACAGCCGACGTTCATGGGAGGACAGTCCCTCGTCGGTGAGTCTGCCACGGTCCATCTTTGCTCGTAACGATATCGAAAGTTATATAATCGAAGGAGAAAGACTCCTTTATATTAACCGTGATTAACACTGCACTGGTAAATGCACAGCAGTGCTTAGACAAAACACCAAAAGGGTCCAGGATTACTTAAATTGAGACACATTCCGTTTAGGTCTATGAGCCCGTTAGGCCAGTTGTTATGAATGTCTTCTCTTGTCACAAAGAAGCAACTGGACCTTTTTGTCTCTTTCAGAACACTCAAAGTCATATTGTATAGTATTGTATAGTCTTGTACGCGGCATTTTTTTAGGTCTGTCCTTTGTCGCGATGATGCCGACTATACAAAGCATGTTGTTCAAAGGAATGATGGTGTTGAAGTATCTGTCATTTTTCTTATAGCAAAAATAGAAATCGATGGCTATTTTTCCTCGACGCTCCGGCGAGTGCGGTCACAGCATTGGACTAAGTCTACGCAGTGACTACTTTGAGTAGTCACTGAGAGCGTGGGCTTTGCAAATAGCAATATCGGTGTGTCACGCTCAGGAATCCAATTATTTCTTCAACACCAATAAAATCCTGCTGTTTTCTAGTCATGCACATTCTAGCCTACTTTATTTCCAGGGTTTCAGGATGATGGACATAGGTAAGTCTTGTCTGTATATATAGATATCGTGATAATAAACATTTCATTAAAACCTTCGCCTGTGATCAGAGTTGAAGTCGAGTCCATCACAAGTCCCTTCAAAATTCCAGTCACAAGGCCTGTCATAAATAACAGGATGAACAATGACAAAAGAATCTTTCGTCATAGTTCATTTGATTAGCTTGCGATTGATGATAAAATGACCTGTGATAGACTTACATGGACTTGCAAGGACTTGTGATGGACTCGAATACAACACTCCCTAAGATGTACCACCATTACAGGAATCAAGATAAGGCCTCACAGTGGTATTTCACACCAATACATATTCTTTTTGTAATTCATTTAAGACGTACAACCCATAATCGTTTCTCTTTTGACAGGTGAAAAGGGTAATCTGACCTTTGACGACATCAAGAATGCATCTCAGGCGGTAGGACTGAAGTTCCGCGACAGCACGATCCGGGACTTGATGGATGAAGCAGACACCAACGGTGATGACATAACAAGAAAGGAAGAGTTCTTCCAAGTTATGCTGAAGTGTTACTCAATTAAAAGCTTGGGCCAGGAGTATACCTTTTATGTACATGCAGATGTACATGTACAGCTAGCCAACGGCTCAAAATATCAGCAAAACCTTAATTTCTGTTGTACAATATGAACCTCCCTATTTCCAATCAAAGAATCTCCACTTTTTCGTTTTTCATTAACAGAACTTATGAATTATGAAGGCGCTTCTAGATTTAACCTACACCCAAAGGCAACAACGATGCTAGAAGAATCTCGAATGTCACTTGTACAATGTATTGTACTGTCAGTTTTAAAAAGAAAGAGGCACAATTTTAGAATTGAATATTTCAGGTGTTCTTTTGTCACTCCTTGCAAGGACACCCAAAATTGGTCATTTGCTTTTCCACTGTCTGGATATCAGACTTAGCATCTT